TCTCCCCCTCCTCCCTCCAGGTCCAGTCTGCACTAGCCCCGCCTTCCTGCCCCCCGCCCTGTTCGTTCTCAGCCTTGGAATCTACGGCAGCAACGTAGTCTGGCTGGTTCTCTTTGACAGGGACGAGGTAATGCATTGTATTGTGGACAGTCTTCCAAAAATCGTGTGGCAATTGATTACTGTTTTCAATCTTTCTCTTTGAAAGAGATAACGTATTACTTCGGACAGGCACGAGGCAATACATTGTATTGTGGACAGTCTTCCAAAAATCGTGTGGCAATTAATTACTGTTTTCAATCTTTCTCTTTGAAAGAGATAAAGTATTACTTCGGACAGGGACGAGGTAATGCACTGTATTGTGGACAGTCTTCCAAAAGATTACTCTTATATATAATTCATTTGGCAATGAATTACTGTTTTCCATCTTCCTCTTTGAAAGAGATAGAGTACACTGTATTGCTTTGAACAGGGACGGGGTAACATTTTGGGCAGTCTTCCAAAAGTCGCGTTTACTTTTAAATCATCTGACAATTATTGATTACTATTTTCAATCTTTCTCTTTGAAAGAGGTAAAGTATTTCTTTGGACAGGGACGAGGTAATGCATTGTATTGTGGACAGTCTTCCAAAAGTCGTGATTACTCTTAAATCATTTGGCAATAATTACTGTTTTCAATCTTTCTCTTTGAAAGAGGTAAAGTATTACTTTGGACAGGGCGGACAAGGTAACATTTTGGACAATCTTCCAAAAAGTCGTGATTACTCTTAAATCATTTGGCAGTTAATTACTGTTTTCAATCTTTCTATTTAAAAGAGATAAAGTATTACTTTGGACAGGGATGAGGTGATATTTTGGACAATCTTCCAAAAAGTCGTGAGTACTCTTAAATCTTTTGACAATCAATTACTGTTTTCAATCTTTCTATTTAAAAGAGGTAAAGTATTACTTTGGACAGGGACTAGGTGATATTTTGGACAGTCTTCTAAAAGTCGTGATTACTTTTAAAATCATTTAACAATTAATGAATTACTGTTTTCAAACTTTCTCTTTGAAAGATATAAAGTGTTACTTTGAACAATCTTTAATAAGTCCTGAATTACTTTTGAATTATTTTACAGTTAATTAATCTTTTCAATCGTTCTCTTTGACATTGAAAGAGACTAGTTAATCATTTGAACAATCATTCAGCAGTTTGAATTACTTTTAAACCTATTGATAATTTATAATGCATGTAACTGTATTTATTCTTTCTCTTTGACATATTATTATTAGAAATTTGATGTTTTAAATCGTTCTCTTTGACACGAAAACAAGGTAATCCTTTGAACAATCTTTCGGAACTATGAATTACTTTTAAATCTGCATTTAAGATTTCTCTTTGACCTTCCTGGTGAAGGTTGGGAGCACAACACTCGAGCGTAGCAAGGGGAGCTGATGTTTTCAATTACGTGTTTTCATTATATCTTGGTTCTGTCCCTTGTTGCAAATAAGGCCCGCGCACGTCATTATGTACATTGTATTATTTTATTATTATTATTATTATTTATTATTATTATTATTATTATTATTATTATTATTATTGTTAATATTAATATTATCGTTATTTACGATAATTATGATTATTGTAATTTTTTAAACGATGATGATAACGATAATGATGATGATGGTAAATTTAAAAAATTATTAATATTTTTATTATTATTATATTTATTTTGACATGTTATACTGTCAAAATTATTCTTGACAGTCATCCATTGTAGAGATCAAATTGTGGTTCTCTTAAACAGTTAAATTTTACAAATAAAAAATATTGGGTTTTTAAAAAAAGAATACAACAAAGAAATACCTGAACTGTCAAATTATTTATTAACATCTTTAACCAATCAAAATAATTAACTGTGTTAATTTCAAGCCAAGTAGTCTATAATTTTTTCTTTCTTTCTTTTATTTTCTCTTTCGCCCCCAACCTTTTAGAGCATCATGCTTGGTGTCAACTTGTGTAAGAACCCCCCTCCTCCTCCCCCCATGTCAACTTCTGTCAACTTTTCACCGACCTCACCCCCATTTCCCCCCTCTGAGCTGACGCCATTTGTGAACGGACCCAAAGACAATAGCCCATGCAAACGACCACTTCCCATTTCCCTCCTAGCAAATTTTCAAAACATTATAATGACACCGCGTACGACGTCCACCTGTCTAAGACAATCACTGCCCCCCCCCCCCCCCCAAATGGGTGGCCTTTTCAGACGCTTTGGACTGAATATTTTGATCGTTTTAAACAATTCTACAGCCCCTCGTTTTCCTCCTCTATTATTGAGAGCATCATTATGCCAGTTGGAATTACCCCAGGCTATGTTGTGGACGGCCATGGTTCGAAACTCCAATGGAGCATTCTTTGGCTTGGGTTCGTTTGTAAAATACAGTCTAAACTGTCTAAGACGACAGCCTAAAATCGAGAAGAACATTGTCGTCTAAGACAGGTGGCGGTCTTAGACAGGGCTGATCCAACTTTAGAAAATATACCACCCCCTGATTAGGTCCCAAGTGGAGGTGTTCGAATGTTTAGAATTATCAAGGCCCTTTAAAATGTGTTTGTTTTGGGGTTGGGGGGAGCGGGTATCTTTTGGAAGGAGGGTGGAAGTTTTGGTTTCGTGGCTGCTATGAAATATTAAACTCTCTGAAGTGTACCAAACGAGGAAGACAGCATTCGAAATATAACGAAATGTGTCAGACGAGGAAGAGTAAGTCCCATTATAAACAAGCAAGGACCCAACGTCGGGCGCCTGAGGGGATTCGAACCCACGACCTTACGGTTGCGAGCCTGAGAGCTTAACCACTAACCCACCGACTTTTTTCATCTCATAGATCGTGGCATCCTCTGTAGTCCTGATCGTGTACAGTATCTTCCTCTACCTCGCCCTGGCTGCCTCCTACGTAGCCCTGGACAGATCCTGCCGCCTACTCCTACAACAACGACAACGTACAGACGTCTGGCTCACCCGACTCCTCGTTCACAACAGTCTGGGGCTACAAGCCGGCTGGGTTACCGTAGCAACCGCCGTAAACATCTCCATTTGGATGACGTACGACACAGATCCGGCAATTGAGCGGGAAACTTCCGGGACCGCCGTGTTGGGGATTTTGTCAGTAGAATTATTGTTCTTCGCTGTGACAGACTTGTTTGTTTTCGACCGCTACTCTCGTTATACTTTCACACCATACGCAGCCGTTATTGTTGGTATGGCGGGGGTTGTTGATAAGAATTACGTGGAAGGAGAAAGAAACAGCATATTTTCTGTGACTCTGTTATCCGTAGCTTGTATTTTCCTTTTTCTTAAGATCTGTCTCGCTTCCTATTGGCACACCACAAAGCCGAGGTATGGAGAAACGTCTCCGGACTCGAAGCAGCGACAAGTTCTTCCTCACTTCCAAGGTTTTGTGGCTTGAAGAATAAGTAACATTATCACCTCCTGCAAATTTGATTTGTCTGCATTTTCATCTGGAGGGGATTCGTTAGGTCAGTAGTCTATATATGGCTTAATGGGTTACCACAGTGTGAATGGCTCCGGTTCGAATGTCCAAATGGGCGTTCTTGAACTTTGGTAATTTAAGGAGTTTTTAAGTTTCTCCATTCCCTTGATTTGATGTACGTTACATTCGGAGTTCCCAAATTTTGAATGACTTAACAAAGTTGAAAGGGGGAATTGAATCCATAGATTTGTCTAGTTTCTTCACAATATCACATAATGTAGACAGGGAGTGAGAGGCACAATGAGAGAGAGAGAGAGAGAGAGAGAGAGAG